AAGGAGGAGGAGGAGGAGGAGGAGGAGGTGGAGGAGGAGAAGAAGGAGAAGAAGAAGAAGAAATGGCATTCGTATAGCGCATCCCCTCTCTACAATAAGCTCTATGCGTTTTTACACTGTATTATTACCCCAGCAGACCATAGAACACTCAGAAACATTCTCAGCTTCCCGGGAAGCATACAGTGCAAGCAGCTGATTAAGCGCTCAAACACTAACAAACTGGCAAGATCTTTCTCTGTCTATAGCATAGCCGGGTACCCATTCCCACCTGGGTGAAGTTAGGAAAATTCATGCAAAGTGTCTTTCCCAAAGACACAACGTTGGGTGCCTGATGGGATTCAAACTCATGACCTTACAGTTGCGGGTCTGAGAGCCCAACCACTAGGCCACTGACTACCTAACTAACAACAAGCTGGGTATGTACTCATGACCTCAGTGCTTTCTTGTCCTATCTCCATTTTTAATAACAGTGAAAACAGTTCATAAACAGTTCATAACAAAGAGTGAGCTTAAGAAGAAGTCACATTTTCACTGTTTAAAAAAAGGAGATACGACAAAAAAGAACTGAGGTCTAGTTAACTGCCTCTGCATGTGTGCCATAAAGACATAGAAGGACACAATGTCTGGCCTGAGGTTCGAACCCCGAACCCCGGTACTACCTACCTACCGAAAAACAAACTGGGCATGTACTGCAGTTTCATGTGTGCCATAAAGGTTTAGAAAGACAAAACATCTGGTCTGAGATTTGAACCCTGAACCCTGAATCTCGGGACTACCTACCTACCGAACAACAAACTGGACATATACTGTGGCTTCATGTGAGCCATAAAAGCGTAGAAGGATACAACGTCTTGTCTGAGGCTCGAACCTCGAACCCTGAACCCCGGGACTACCTACCTAACAACAAGCTGGGCATGTACTGTGGCTTCATGTGGGCCATAAAGGCGAAAAAGGACACATCGTCTGGCCTGAGGTTCGAACCCTGAACTCTGAACCTTGAACCCCGGGACTACCTACTTTCCTAACAACAAACTGGGCATGCACTGCGGCTTCATGAGTGCTATAAAGGTGGAGAAAAAAAAGGAACACATCGTCTCACCTGAGGTTCGAACCCTGAACTCTGAACCCTGAACCCCCATGACAACCTACCTAACAGCAAGCTAGGCATATACTGTGGCTTCATGTGTGCCATAAAAGCGTAGAAGGACACAAAGTCTGGTCTGAGGCTCGAACCTCGAACCCTGAACCCCCATGACTACCTACCTACCTAACAACAAGCTGGGCATGTACTGGCCTGAGGCTCGAACCTCGGACCTGTAACTCTGATTCATTCAGTGTCGACATATTCCTTGTGACTACCTACCTGACAACAAGCTGGGCATGTACTGTGGCTTCATGTGGGCCATAAAGGCGAAAAAGGGCACATCGTCTGGCCTGAGGTTTGAACCCTGAACTCTGAACCCTGAACCCCGGGACTACCTACTTACCTAACAACAAGCTGGGCATGTACTGTGGTTTCATGTGGGCCATAAATGCGTAGAAGGACACAGAGCTGGTGCAGTCTCCGACGGCCAGGAAAAAATTGAGAGCCAACATGGCGGTGCTGTGCTCCACACCGCCAATGTACGTCCGGTGTTGCCAGAGAAACGCCAGGAGCAGAGCGGCGACCATGCTGATGACGATGACGAGGAAGGAGGTGACCTTCTCCAGCCGCGGTTTGGTTCCCGGGGCCAGGTAGCTGACCAAGACGAACAGGATGGGGCCGATGTTGGCCACCTGGGGGTGATAGAAACATTGGTGAGCAGAAGTTGATTGACTGGTAATTTTGCGTGATCGTTTAAGTGTGTGTTTCATGACACTTGCAACACAATAAGGTCATGTAAGTGCCGAAGATTAGAGGAGTGACAAGAGAGTAACAAACACAAAAAAGAGGGAAGAGAGATAAAGACGAAAGATGCTCGATAGGAAAGATGGAGCAAACCACATCAGAGCACCCACCAACAACCCCCAGGGAGCTGAAGATTCGAGGTGTTACTAGAGAGTAACGGACAATTACAAAGAAAAGAAAGAGGAGAGATAACAACAAAAGATGTTTAGTAGGAAAGAAAGAGCCAACAACATCAGAACACCTGCCAACGACCCCCACGATGTCTAAGATTAGAGGTGACACTAGAGAGTGACATATACAGTAAAGAAAGAAAGGAGAGATAAGGACAAAAGAAGCTTAACAGAAAAGAAGAAAAAGGAAAGATAAGGGTAAAAGATGTTTAATAGGAAAAAAGGAACAAACCACATCAGAGCACCCACCCACCGCCCACTGACCACCGCCCACTGACCACCGCTCACTAACCTGGCTGACCACCGCCCACCACTCACTGACCCCCGCCCACTAACCTGGCTGATCACCGCCCACCACCCACTGACCACCGCTCACTAACCTGGCTGACCGCTGCCCACCACCCACTGACCACCACCCACTAACCTGGCTGACCACCGCCCACCACCCACTGACCACCGCCCACTAACCTGGCTGACCACCGCCCACCACCCACTGACCCACGCTCACTAACCTGGCTGACCACCACCCACTGACCACAGCCCACTAACCTGGCTGACCACCGCCCACCACCCACCGACCACCGCCCACTAACCTGGCTGACCACCACCGACCACCCACTGACCCACGCTCACTAACCTGGCTGACCACTGTGATGTAAGACGGCAACTTCCACTGCTCAGGCGCCGTCAGGACCAACAAGGGAAGCTCCACCCACATTCCGTTGAGGTCGATCCAGGACGCGATGGCGAACACAACCACCAACACGTGGACCAGGAGCTGTGGACAATAGATATTGTAAAGAGGTTTAATATCTCCAACCAGCTCCTCACGGAGACAGTTAGCAGGAAGACCCCGGGGTGGACACTGGAAAGGAGAGATGAGCAGCTATGGACATGTGCTGCCTGCTACGATTCTAGCTCTGGATCCAAGTAATCTAAGTAATCCAAGTAATCCAAGTAATCCAAGTAACCTAAGTAATCCAAGTAATCCAAGTAAGAGGTTTAATAGACACTTGACTAGACATTAAGGCCTTGAACATCTACATGTAGCTCTCACTGGCAATACTGAGGGCAAAACTGAGGGCAAAAGAGGCAGGTGTAGACCCAGAGCAACCTACTTGGAGAGTCTGAAATGGCGAATTGGAATAGGTTTAACGCACCTATCAACCCTATTAGGTTCTTTAAGAGGCAGGGGTAGACCCACACTTCTCCCTCAGAGACCTAACATTGACAACACACTCTATGGAACATTACAGCAACTGCAGCAAACCTGCACTTATCACTACATGACATTGGACAGAAGGACAAGAGCCCAACTGTTGCTGGATCGATAACAACAACAACAACAACAACAGGGGTAGACCCAGAGCAACCTACTTGGAGAGTCTGAAATGGCGAACTGGTATAGGTTTAACGCACCTATCAACCCTAATAGGTTCTTTAAGAGGCAGAACTTCCGAGTTTAACGTCCATCTCCCCGAAAGGGCCGAGCCAAATAGGAAAACCGTGAAAAGTGTCTTTCCCTAGGACACATTATTGGACTGAACTGAGGCTCGAACCCCTGAACCCACAATCTCATGATTACGAGTCCCGTAGCCCAACCACAAGACTACCGACATCACCACAGGAGCTTTTTTTTGTAGAGATTTTACGGCGTTCGCAACTGCATAAGGTCATATGAGCGCCAAGGGGTGGATGTCAACAGAGAATTCTTTACAGGGAATCAGACTTAGACTGCTCACCTCTCTAGCTTCAACAGCACAAGGTCTGCTTCGACTATCAAGGCATCCCAAAATAGCAGGTCACAAGAGAGTGACAAACATACAAAAGAAGTAGAGGAAAATGACATTAGTAAGGATCAGGAAAGAAAAAGCAGCAGTTTCATGTTGTAGATCAGGCACAGTTATGAGCGTGACATGAGTCAGCCCATTTACAATTCTACTATGCTTGAACGAGAAATGTCCCCCCTTTGGGAATGGCCTAAAGACACTACAGTCAGTGGCACCACCGCGGGGGGAGGGGGGGGGTTACAGGAGCTTTGAAACATTGAAACTGTACAGAGGTTTAGTAGACACTTGAACAGACAGTCGCTTTGTTTGTTTCCTTGAGTACAGAGAAGCACATCTACACAACAAACTGAAAACCTGTGTACAGCCATGAACATCTGGCTCTCACTGGCAAAATTTGGGGCAAAAAGAGGTAGGGGTATACCCAAATCAACCTTAAAATCAGGATGCTGTAACTTTTTAGAGAGCATCCTAAGGATACCAGAGGAAGGAAAAAGTAAAAAATAAGTAAGTTAGAGAGCATCCCAGCAAAAAAATGAAAGGAAAAAAACCATGATCACAAACTGACCACACCAGAGCACCCGCCACCCGCCCATCCACCTTCCCACAGAAGAGGTATAAGCACAGAGTGCATCTCATTTAAGGTGTTTGGTGTGTCCTGCGCGCTCATATTATGACCTTATGCAGCTGCAAGCACCGTAAAACACTTACCAAAAAAAAAAAAAAAAAAAAAAGAGTGCACCTCAGTAAAAATGTTTGGTGTGTCCT